TGTGCGAGATAGGCTTGCGGACATGAAGTGGAACTATGTAGCACATGTTTTCGCAATTTAGACCGATTTGGGTGTGCGACCTGAGCATGGACATGACCATCTCGCAAATATACATTCTGGAGTGTGCGACCTGGACTTGCAAGTGGGGGAGGAGCTGTACTGAGTCGCACAAAAACATGCAAGATGAAGTGCTAGATGGATGTGCGGCTGAGAAAGGAGTTAACCATCTAGGAGTCTTGAGCGCCTTTTTGTGCGAGATGGGTGTGCGGGTCTGCCATGGACGTGACCATCTCGCACATCAGCCACCAGATCCATCTGAGCCGGGTCAGTACCCAGTTTTTCCTGGGCTGACCCGGCCCAAAACCCTTGCTATATATAGTTTTTTGAGAAAAAACCCTAGGGACATCTCATTCTCTCTTAGTTTCCCTTGCCTCTTTTGTGTAAAACCCAGAGTTTGGGAAGAGATATCACGTCTTGAATCATTAAAGGCTGTTTCTTTTCCATTTATTTTCATCATTCAAAGCTTCTAATCATGATTAACATCACATCTTGCAAAGGATTAAGTATGTTAATCATGATTAGTGAGTAGTTCTTTCATAAGGTCTTAGATAGGTAGATTAGGGTGCAAAGATGTTAGATTAGAGAGTTTAGGAGTTAGATCATGCATCTTCCATTCTCTAATTAGCTATTCTTAAGGCTAGATCCTTGAATATCACATGGGTCTAGATCATAGGCATTTCATGCACCAAAAGTGTTTGATGAAATGCTTAAACCAAGCTAATTAGAGGTTCATGCATCAAGACCATGAAAATGATTGTTTTGTGTGTGAATGACATATTAGAACTGATGTTTAATGCTCATTGATTCATATTTCTCAAATGGGAATTTGATATGAAAGTGGATTAGTGTAGAGGTTAATACCTTCATGAGAGGATTAATCTAATGCTGAGTTCTAAGTTGAATGGCTTTGTGTGATTATTAATTCATTAGCTCTCTAGTTTACCATTGATGCACCCTAATCCAATATCCTATCTAAGGCCTTAGTTTCATCATATTGCATCCATCATCATTTTGTTATTTGATTGTCTTTGTTTGCTTTGTTTATCATTATTATCTTCTCTTTATATTGTTTAGTTTCTTGTTTTAATCATTAGTTCAAACCAAACCTCATTTGTTTGCTTGAATTAAGAATCTGTTCATATAATCTATTGTCTAGCTTCCACATTCTTGGATTGACACCCCTTATACTACTTTGACAAAGGGGATTGATAGCCCTTAAGAGCCTAAAAAACTCTTGTCTATCATTTAGTGCTGCGAAAGTAGGCTATTCATAATTTCGTGCCTCAAGTTCTAGAACATACGTAGCCAATTACCTTTATTACTTACTTACTTTCTTCATTGCTTTAGTCCATGAATCCCTGAGATACCCTTAAGCCCAGTGTTTGTTTCCCATTGTTTACAGCCTTCAATTTTTATTCGATTTTTACATGCTTTCACTTGCTTTCATTTTCAATTGCTTTTTACTTGCTTTTAGTTAAGATTAAGTGACAACCCAAAACCAAAACCCAAACCTGTTTAGTTTTAGTCTGATTTAAGCATTAGCGTGAATTCGTACTGAAACAACTAAGTATGTGTGGATGGATACCCTAAATACTACAGCTCACATCTGTGCACTTACAGACATTTAGGGGTTATAAATTTCAAACCTGAAGCATAGTAAAAAAAAAACACCCCGTTTACAATCACATCACATCTTCTCTTCACTCACCCTGAGCAAGAACAACAGCGCCTCAACATACATGCCTCGTGAAGATCAAGCTGAGGCATGCACGTGTTCTTGACCTTTTACCCAGATTCACATGCCTCGACATGGAGGCCTTGGCTTGGAGATCTGGACACTGACCCGCGACATGGCTCGAGTAACCCAAGAAGACTGGATAAGTACCCGGTTTGTTCCGGGTTGACCCGGTTCACTGACTTTCTCTATATATAGTTTTTGGGACTAAAAACCCTACTTATCCTTTATCTACTTTTAGAACTTGCCTCTTTTCTGAAAAACCCATATTTTTTCAAGAGATATCTTTGAGTTAATCTGATTTAAAGCTGTTTCTTGCAATCTTATCATCTGTTCTCATCATCTAAAGCGTCTAATCATGATTAACAACACATCTTGCAAAGGATTAAGTGTGTTGATCATGATAGTGAGTAGTCTTTTCATAAGGTTCTAGATAGGTAGATTAGGGTGCAAAGATGTTAGATCAGGGAGTTTAGGAGTTAGATCATGCATTTTTCTTTCTCTAATTAGCTGTTCTTAAAGCTAGATCTCTGATAATCACTTTGGTCTAGATCATAGGCATTTCACCACCCAAAAGGTGTTTGATGAAATGCATGTCTAATTAGAGGTTTATGCTTTGTTCATCATGGGAATGATTTTTTAATGCATAAATGACATATTAGAGCTGATTACTAATGGTTATTGATTCATATTTCACAAATGGGAATTTGGTTTGGAAGTGGATTAGTATAAAGATTAATACCTTCATGAGAGGATTAGTCTACATTTGAGTTCTAAGTTGATTGGATTGGTTTGATTGTTTTTCATTAGTTCTAGTTTAACATTAATGCACCCTAATCAACTACCCTGTCTACGACCTTTGTTTCATCATATTCATATCATCATCATCTTGCTATTTACTTGTTTATGGCTTAGTTTAATTCTTTAATCTTGTTTGAAATTTGTTTGAAATTTGTTTAGTGTCTCTTGTTACCAAACCTCTCTTGTTTTAGCTTGAATTAAGTTTGAATTCTCATGAACTAGTGTCTATCTTCACACTTATGGATTGACTACCTTTTATGCTGCAACTGCTTAAGGGGATTGATACTCGCAAGAACCTAAAAAATCTTATTTATCAATTGGCGCGTGTGATTGTTTAGCATTAGTTGCCACATTCATCTTGAGATCAAGTTTTCGGTTTTACTGATTACACCTACAAGTGCTGAAGATTCAGGTTTATGTCACATAGACCAAGGACTAGAAGCAGAAGTTCTGAACCAGCTGAGGCTTTCCTTGACAACATCCACCTGGTAGAGAGAGCTACAAGAAGAGAAAGGGAAATAGCAACACATATTAAGAGATTGTGTATGGATCAGCAAGGGAATCAAGTTGAGCACCAGGCTCATGACAATAGAAACCAGGCGGCCAGAAGGCCTTTGTGAACCAAAACATGGCGGCTAGAAATGAGCACCAGGCTCAGATGAATCAGAATTAGGTGGCCAGAAATTAGCACCAGGCTCATGTCAATCCAGAGAACCAGCACCAGCAAAGGCAGCAACAACCTCAAGTGAGGAATCCTATTATTGTGGGTGCCAATGACTGAGCCAATGCTTATCAGAACAGACAAGGCATTCAAACTCTACCTGTTGAGAACAATAATTTTGAAGTCAAGGCATCACTCCTCAACATGGTACAGAATTCCAAGTTCCATGGTCTGCCTATGGAAGATCCCCTAGATCACCTTGATAACTTTGACAGGGTTTATAACCTTACAAAGATCAATGATGTCTCAGAAGATGGCTTCAAGTTGAGACTCTTTCCATTCAGCTTGGGAGACAAAGCTCGCCATTGGGAAAAGAACTTGCCTAGAGGATCAATTCAAACTTGGGAGCAGTGTAAGCAGGCTTTCCTCTCAAAGTTCTTTTCAACATCAAGGACAGCCAAGCTCAGGAATCAAATCTCAAGCTTTACCCAACACACGAATGAGACCTTTGTAGAAGCATGGGAAAGATTTAGAAGTTATATCAACCAGTGTCCCCATCATGGTTTTTTTGAAGCTTCACTACTCAGTACTCTATATAGAGGAGCTCTCCCCAAGATAAAAAACCAAACAGATACAACTTGAACTGGCAATTTCCTTGCTAAGTAAATCAATGCAGCAATGGAGTTGGTGGAAAACTTGGCTATGAGTAATGAAGCATATGGTAAAGACTATGATAGAGCCTATAGAGGAGATGAGTTTAGTGAAGAACAAAGGATGAGGAAGGACATCAAGGAGCTTCAAACCAAATTGGACAATGTTCTGGTGGCAACTCAGAAGCCAATACATTTGTGGGAGAGTTTGATGAACAAACTCCTTGCTTTGAAAATGTGAATGAAAAAGGATTAACACAAGAGGAGGTGCATTACATTGGGAATCAGAACAAGTTTCAGAGGTCTAACAACTTCAACAATCCAAACTTGTCATACAGAAAACCCAATGTGGCTAATCCAAGAGTTCAGGTCTATCCTTCTCAAAAAGCTCATCAAAGCTATGTTCCCAAGAATCAGTTTCAAGGGAACTTTCAGAGCAAGCAGCAATATGTTCAGCAGCCTCAACAATATGTGCAGCAACCTCTGCAGAACCAAGGGAGTAACTTCACTAGTCAGCAGCCTATGAACAAGTTTCCACCAAGATTTGGACAGAAGAAGCAGCAGCTAGGTCCACTGATGGGTCCAGAGTTGAGTGGGGTTCTTCAGCAGATACTTCAGGGTCAGCAAAGGATTGAGAACAGTTTCACCGATCTGAGTTCCAAGTATGAAGCTATGCAACACCAGCTCAAAGATCTTCAAAAGAATCAAGCTTCTTCTTCTAGACAACAAGGAACACTTCTTGTGAAACTTGAACCAAACCCAAAGGAGTATGCCTATGCCATTACACTCAGAAGTGGCAAGGAGTTACCTGAGAGAGAGCCAAGGCATGTGCTCATTGAGGATAATGAGCAACTTGGTGGGGAGGTGCCTCAAGGGAGTGATTTAGATGATGAAGCTGTAAAGAATGACAAGGGGAAAGGTGTGGCAAAATAGATGGTGCATGAGAAACCATATGTGCCACAACTACCTTATCAGCCCAAACTTCCATTTCCAAGAAGGTTCAAGAAGCAGCTCTTAGAGAAGGCTAGAGCTTTTTTTAAAAAAGCAATTGGAGAAGACTTAGTTCACCACGCCCATTATAGAAGCCTTCCTTATGGTTCCTCAACTTGGAAAGTTCTTAAAGGATGCTATTTTGAACAGGTCAAGAGAACTACAAGGAATGGTGGTCTTAAGTCATGAATGTAGTGAAATAATTCCGAGGAGAACAATTCCTAGGAGGTTATCTGATCCATGGAGTTTAACATTGCCATGTACTATTGGTACTTTGAAGTTTGCAAGCTGCTTATGTGACTTAGGAGCTTCAGTGAGTTTAATGTCTTTCTCTATTGCAAAGAATTTGGGTTTCACAGTCTACAAGCCTGCAAGAAAATCTTTGGTACTTGCTGATAGATCAGTTAGGCTCCCCATTGGACTCCTTGAAGATCTTCCTGTGAAGATAGGTGATTTTGAAGTTCCAACATACTTCATTGTGCTTGAAATGGATGAAGAGTCTGTAGATCCTCTCGTTTTAGGTAGACCATTCCTTGCTGCAGTAGGTGTCATAATTGATGTGAGAGGAGGCAAGATTGAGTTGCACTTGGATCAGATTCTCTTACATTTGACATGAATGAGATGATTGAAAAGCCAACCATATAGGGACATGTCTTATATGTTGAAACAATTGATCAGTTGGCTGATGACCTGTTGGAAGAGCTGACACTAGAGGATCCTCTCCAAGTCACCTTGACAAAAGAACCAGGTTAACATGGGTTCTTAGCTGAGGAGAGTGAAGCCTACAAGATGGTGTTGGATCAGCACAACGTAGCAGGTTCAGAAACTCAGTTTTTGGAGCTGGAGACAAGTGGCCTAGAGGTTCAAAGTATCAGTGGGTTCAGTACAAGTCAGGGACCTGTTCAAGAGTGTATGGCCGTGGGTTTGAATGCAGAGAAAGATGCTAGAACGGCTAAAGACACCAGCAGTAATGATGCTCAGGCTGATCATAAAACCTTCATGGCGCACTGGGATGAACACAAAGCTTCATCTGTTGAGCTTAAGCCACTCCCAAAAGGGCTCAGGAATGCATTTCTTGGCCCTAATTCATCTTATCCTGTGATCATCAATGATAGACTATTAGTTCATGAAGAGAATACTTCGTTTAATGAACTAAGAAAGTTCAGGAGAACTATAGGCTATTCTCTAGATGACATTAGATGGATCTCACCTGACTTATGCACCCATAGGAAACATCTGGAAGAGAAATCAATGATCCATATAGAGCATCAAAGGAGATTAAACTCAAATCTAAAAGATGTTGTTAAGAGAGCGATCCTTAAACTCATTGAGGTATGAATAATCTACCCTATTTCTGACTCAAGATGGGTTTCTCCAGTACACATTGTTCCTAAAAAGGGTGGCATAACAGTGGTCAGGAATGAGAAGGATGAGCTCATACCCACCAGAATTGTGACAGGCCAGATAATGTGCATTGATTATAGGAAGTTGAATGCTGCATCAAGAAAATATCATTTTCCTCTTCCTTTCATTGATCAAATGTTTGAGAGGCTTTCCAATCATCTATACTACTGTTTTCTAGATGGATACTCAGGGTTCTTCCAAATTCCATACACCCTAGAGACCAAGAGAAAACAACATTCACCTGCCCTTATGGCACTTATGCATACAGAAGAATGCTTCTTGGTTTGTGTAATGCACCTGAACCCTTTCAAAGGTATATGATGTCTATATTCTCTGACCTGATAGAGGAGAAATTTGAGGTGTTCATGGACAATTTCAGTGTCTATAGACCCTCTTTCTCTTCTTGTTTGTCTAATCTGTCTCAGGTGCTAAGGAGATGTGAGGAGACAAGCTTGGTGCTGAACTGGGAGAAGTGTAATTTTATGGTATAAGAAGGCATTGTGTTGGCAATAAGGTGTCTGAAGCTGGGATAGAGGTATACAAGGCAAAGGTGGATGTCATGGTTAACCTGGGGGCTCCAAATTCAGTAAAAGGAGTCAGAAGCTTTTTGGATCATGTTGGGTTCTACAGAAGATTCATTAAGGACTTCTCAAAGATAGCAAGACCCTTGACAAGGCTCCTATGCAAAGATGTAGAGTTCCTCTTTGATCAAAATTGCCAAGAAGCCTTTGAGAAGATCAAGCAAGCTATGATAAGTGCTCCCATTGTTCAAGCACCAAATTAGAGTTTGCCCTTTGAGATCAGGACTGATGCATCAGATTTTGCTGTTGGTTTAGTGCTGGGAAAAAAGAAATACAAGAAGCTTCATGTAATCTACTATGCAAGTAGGACTTTGGATACAGCTCAAGAGAAGTACGCCACAACTGAGAAGGAGATGCTGGCCATTGTCTATGCTTTTGACAAGTTTAGATCCTATTTGGTGGGGTCTAAAGTGGTGGTCTACATACATCATGCAGCTTTGAGATATCTAATAACAAAGAAGGATGCAAAACCAAGGCTGCTGAGATGGGTATTGCTTCTTCAGGAATTTGATATGGAAATAAAGGACAAGAAGGGTATTGAGAATGGAGCAGCTGATCACTTGTCTAGACTAAAAGTGGAAGCTAATGTCTCTCTTAATGATTCTCTACCTAAAGAGCAGCTTATGGTGGTGAAAGCTTTGAATGAGCTGGAAGAAATCAAATCCATCAAGGAAGGAGGTTTACCATGGTTTGCAGAGATTTTGAACTATCTCTCATGTGGAATGGAGGCTCCAGAAATGAGCAACTACCAGAGGAAGAAGTTTTTCAAGGATATCAAGAGGTTCTTTGGGATGAGCCATACTTGTATGTGCTTAACAAGTATCACTTGTACATAAGGAGTGTAGCTGAGGAAGAGGTTCTAGGGATCTTGTTGGAGTGCCATGGATCTACTTATGGTGGCCATAATGCTGCCTTCAAAACTTTGGAAAAGGTTTTACCATCAGGATTCTGATGGCCCACCATGTTCAAAGATGTTCAAGCTGTTGTTGTTAGGTGTGATGTTTGCCAAAGGGCTGGAAAAATCTCAAAAAGACATGAAATTCCACAAAATCCAATCTTAGAGGTGAAGATCTTCGATTGTTGGGGCATAGACTTCATGGGACCTTTCATCTCTTCACATGGGAACCAGTATATTATTGTGGCAGTGGACTATATCTCCAAATGGGTTGAAGCTGTGGCAAGCCCACAAATGACTCCAAGGTGGTGGTAAAGCTGTTTAAGACCATCATTTTTCCAAGGTTTGGAGTACTTAGAGTTGTTATAAGTGATGGTAGAAGTCACTTTGTGAATAAGACCTTGGAGGGACTTCTTAGGAAGTATGGAGTCAAGAATAAGATAGCCAGCCCTTATCACCCTCAGATAAGTGATCAAGTAGAAGTTTCAAACAGACAGATCAAAGCCATTCTAGAGAGGACAATGAGCTCATAAAAGAAAGACTGGTCCAAGAAATTGGATGATGCATTGTGGGTTTATAGAACTGCTTTCAAGACTCCCATTGGAACTTCGCCTTTCAATCTTCTATATGGGAAGAGTTGCCATCTGCCTATTGAGTTGGAATACAAAGCATTGTGGACTGTTAAGTTGCAGAACTTTGATATCAAGAGAGCTCAGGAGAAAAGACTTCTTCAAATTCATGAGCTAGAAGAAATAAGGCTTGATGCTTTTGAGAGATCAAAGATCTACAAGGACGGAACCAAGACGTTGCATGATCAGAAAATTATTAAAAAGGATTTCAAAGAGGGAGATCTTGTGCTGCTGTTCAACTCAAGGCTCAAGATTTTTCCTGGGAAGTTAAAGTCAAGGTGGTCTGGTCCTTTCAAGATCTTGGAGGTGAGAAGCTATGGGGCTGTTGTTCTTAAGGGAAAATATGGAAATGGTTTTGTGGTGAATGGGCAAAGGCTAAAGCGCTATCTGGTCAATGAAATCAAGGAGGGAGCTACCTCAGTGCCTCTTGATGATCCCCAAATCCATTAATGGGTATGAAAAATCAAACTTAGTGACTTAAAACAAAGTGCTCTTGGGAGACACCCCAAACTTATCCTTGTACATAGTCTTTTAATCTTTTCTTTTATGTTTTAGGATGTTTTTGATGTGTTTGTTGAGTGGTCTCAGGTCCTAGATAGTGTCTGTGCCTTGTAATCTTGGGCAAAGTGGACCAGGAGGTGGAAAATGAGGTGAAACGGCTAAGTGTTTGGATGGCCTCGGCATGAAGCCTCAGCTTGATTTAACCTGAGGCATGGTATTTAAACTCCACTTTCTCAAAGTCTATATGCCTCGAGATGAATACCTTGGCCTTGAATCCATGTCGAGGCTGGAACCGAGAGAAAGAGGTCAAAACCTCGATGCCAGGCCGCGGTCAAAACATGTCGAGCTGCACAAGGAAAATTTTATGGACGCTGCCTCGAGCTGGTGGCCTCGGGGTGGAACAAGCCGAGGCATGGCTGAGGCGTGAAGGAAAAAGAGAAGAAAAGGCATGCCTCGACTTAAAAGCCTTGGGTCATCCCATGTCGAGGCCAATCCGATGTGAAAAACCTCGTGCTAAGGCCACGGCTTGAATATTTCCAGGCCGGCTGTGATTCTCAAGCAAACAGGGCAAAGGATTATGCCTCGACTTGGTGGCCTCGGGCTGGAACAAGGCGAGGCATGGTGAATAATTTCAGAAAAAATGCCTCGGCTTAAAAGCCGCGGGCAAAAACATGTCGAGGCCCGTATGCACGAAACGTCAAGAAAAATGGCTAAAATCTCGGGTCAAGGCCTCGGGATGATTCAGGGCGAGGCATGGGCGTGTGCTGGGTGTTGACTAGTCAAAAAGGATCTATTTACCAGCGGTCCATAGCCTCCACCCTCTTACAAAGACTTTGTCTTCTCCAAAAACCCGAGTTTGCCTTCTTTCCTCAATTCTCTCTCATTTCTCAACCAATTTAAGTGATTCAAAGTGCACTGGACTCGTTTTCGTGTTGTCTTTCTTGCCCCATCATCGCATTTAGATCAAATCTTGCCAATCCCAAGGTGTTTTTCCCGATGGAAATCAATTTTATCCATGTGCTTTAATGGCGATTTTGAGTTTGCATCTTATGGAATCGATTCTGTTAGGTTGCTAGATGCCATGGGATTTGTTTTGTAAATGCTGTGTGAGTAGATTACTGATGAAAATTGAGTTCTTGCTTGAAGATTCACTTGTTCTTGAATTTTGGAAACTGAAATGCAAAAATGCCACATTAAAATCGATTTTTGAAAGTTTGTGGATTTCTTGCTGGGTTGTTGCTGTGCATTCTTGCTTTGCATTGTTGAGAGCTTGTTAAATCCATGCTTAGCTTGAAAAACCACATGCTTCAAGAAAAAAATCGATTTTAACATTTTCTTTAGTTTGTGTGAAAATTGGTGATTGTTGGCACTTGGTGCTTATTCTTTATTTGAGAAAATCTTGCAGATGACTGAGAGGACTGCTGCTCTTGCACAAGTGAAGAAAGCCTAGGCTGGAAAGGGCAATGGTTCAGCATCAAGCAAGAATGTGGAATCCAAAAAGGACACCAAGAAGAACATCAAGAGAGGAAGTGGGGAACCAGCTGCTAAAAAGGCAAAGAAGGATGAGAGAGCAGTTGTGGTGATGCCTGAACCCAAGAGGAAAGGA